GTCTATACTAATTTTAATTAGGTACTTAGTAAAACAGGCATTTTATGAGACACTTAAATTACTACAAATTATATTACTTTAAAATATGTATTCAAGTTGGTTGTTTACTTGTTGCACTTAAAACAGTTCAAGCTACAAATAACAGTATAACACCTTTTAATAGTTCAAATAAATAATATTTAAAAATAAATATGTATTATAAATTATAATACGAAAGTCATAAATATTAAAAAATAATAAGGAGGGTGTTACATGAAATACATAATAAGCAAGAGTTAAAATCAGTAGTTGGTATTAGAAAAACAGTCTTTTCATCAAAATTTTTCAAATGGCACATAGGTACCTCCATAAAATATACAATTTTTATGATAATTTGGAAAAAAATACTTACAAGTGACGAGATGGTTAAAATATTTTTTAAACGGTTAACAAACTGCAATAATGACAGCTACCTATAGTCCTGAATTCACCATTTCATTATTTCACGTCATTTAACATTATTAATTTGTAATTTCACAAGCAAAAATTAAATATTGAAATAAATAATAATTTTGAAACTTCTTGTTTATATCTGATAAAGTTGATAGTGTCCCAAAGACGTTAAAAACTATATCTTGGTTAGCCACGGTCACGATGTAGATAAAACGGTGTAGTCACTCCATAGACCTTATACTCAGTATAAGGTCTATGATTATAATATTGTTCTGTGATAAGGAGCAAGCCGACAGCCATTTTCTGCGTTTAGTGCGTATCACAAAGTTGCCGACATTGTTTATATTATACTTATCTATGGTTGCTTACATATTTAATATTTTATTATTTTAACAACTCTCAATCACAGAATTATTCTGTGTCTCAATCATGAATTCATGAGCTAAGATAATGTTAAATTAATAAATTATGATCATTTGATTTTTTTCCAAAACATTTTAGTAAAACTTATTGCAATATCCAGTGTACAACGTATCACTGTCTTATTATTATTATTTATAATGATATCGAATAATAAGCTAATACCTATTTTAAGCCGTTTATGGTGATAATGATAAACTCCAATCAAGACATCTATGCGTTATATTAAACTTWTTGTATACATTTTTCTCCGATTAAAGGTTTTCAACTTTGACGGTAGATAATAAAAATGAACGATCCAATTGAAAACGACAGTTCCAAAACGACTGAAGTAAAAAAAATAGTAAAAAATGCTACTGATTTACAACGTTTGAAACTCGAAAGACTTATGAAAAATCCGGTAAGCACAACCCAAATGGTTTTATTGTATTAATCAACTCAACTCTGGTACCCAGTATAAGACTCAGCTCCCTAAGAGGACGTTRCACCCACATGTGTTATCGCTGTCTTAAAAGTGCATAACATAGCAAATTGTACGCTTAGCAAATCACGTTTAACTCTGCTAGCTTAAAATTAGGGTAAATTGAGTATAGACCTATTATGAAACTTGATGGTAAGAACATTGAACATTGGCTACAAAATTGAACTATCTTAACAAACCCTCAAACAAACACAGATAATGTTCTTAACATCAAGTTTCATAATAGATCGATTCACTCAAAGCTTAATGTGACTTGCTAAGTGTAAATAAGTTATGTTATGCGCTTGTAAGGGGACAACAAATGATTGTGTAACGTACTCTTAATATCCGGTATCCTTTTCGCWAAAAATATATGCAGGAAACTTAATTTAGTGAAATTCTGCTTGAGTGTACTTCACTTTCTGAGCAATTCAGACCTCGCTGAACAATAATAACCCAACAGTAGACTGAATATAACACTCAGTGCATTTCTGTTTACATGCACCTATCTTAAATCATTAGTAATTTGTACTTGGTGGGCAAATTGGTCTAGGCAAGTACAGCCTGTGCATTTATGATATTTTTTAAATACCTAGTATAATGTGTAGTTTAAAAATTTACTACTTGTCAGATCGACTAATATGTTTGTTTAGCTGTTAATAATTGTACATTACATTAGTAAATACAAACTAGAATCATCATCCTTAATACATAATGTTTAAAAAAAAATGAAATGCTTATAATTGTTATTATAATTGTTTATAGAATGAATTAACTAATCTAATGACTGTATTTTTAGGATAAACCTGTTTATATACCCGAGCCACGATCTGACAAAAAATCTCCTCATGTACCTGAATTTGTAAGGAATGTTATGGGATCAAGTGCTGGAGCTGGCAGTGGTGAGTTTCATGTTTATCGGCACTTAAGACGCAAAGAATATGCTAGACAAAAACACATACAAGTTAAAGCAGAAAAGGTAAGCAATTTTATTAAAATAAGTTAATAGAAGGGCTAAGTATTAATATTTTTTTTTTTTTTTTTAAAGGAACTTTTGGAAGAAGCGTATCGTCAAAAAATATTAGAAAACAAACAAATGGCTGAAGGGCGTACAGCTAAGAAAAGAGCAAAGAGGTTAAAGAGAAAACAGGTTTTAAGAAAAAAATCAAAGATGAYCAGGAAAAATGATACTGCCAATAGTGTAAGTGAAAATGACTCTACGAGTGATGATGACAATCAAAATATTACTGAGGCACAAAGTAACTCAGTATTATGATGAAAAAAATATTTATGTAAAAATATGTAAATAGAAAATATGACTTTTTATTATAGCAGTGGTTTTTTCTTTTATATAAATCATGATACAGAAGTTTTAGTTAGCAGAAGTTGTGGTCATTGCACGATGGCATGTATAATATGAATTACAATATGTATATTCGCCATAGTGCTAATTCAATATAACATGCTCAAGCATATTTTATTAATCATGTAATAAACTAAATATAAAAATTTTGAGAAGTCACTTTACTGTATAGCAAATACAATGAAAGTCAGTCAGCATGATTTCTAAGAATTTTGCTATTATTTATTTATATTGATATTAGTTATTTATTTATTTTTTCTAGTATGATAGATTATAATATAAYTTATTTTTGTCAAAAATAAATCACATAATATTATGGCATATAGTAATTATTATATTACTAGCTGTTATTGACTTTAGTAATCAATTCTGACATACCATATTATGATTATGTGAATAGATACATGTTTT